TGATGCAGAGGAACGCTGTGACCAGCTGATCAAGAACAAGATCCAGCTGGAGGCCAAGGTGAAGGAGATGACCGAGAGGCTGGAGGACGAGGAGGAGATGAATGCAGAGCTCACTGCCAAGAAGCGCAAGCTGGAAGATGAGTGCTCTGAGCTCAAAAGGGACATTGACGACCTGGAGCTGACGCTGGCCAAGGTGGAGAAGGAGAAGCATGCAACAGAGAACAAGGTGAGGGCAGCTCCTTCTGGTTCTAGCCCAGGTCTTCTCAGGATTCCTAGACCATGGTGTGGTCCTGGTCCTTAGCACTGGACATCCTCATAGATGTCTCCAGGCCGATGACCTCTGACCCTAAAGGGGATGGGGTTCTTGGTCAACAGGTGAAGAACCTGACAGAGGAGATGGCTGGGCTAGATGAGATCATCGCCAAGCTGACCAAGGAGAAGAAGGCTCTGCAAGAAGCCCACCAGCAGGCCTTAGATGACCTTCAGGCTGAGGAGGACAAGGTCAATACCTTGACCAAGGCTAAGGTCAAGCTGGAGCAGCAGGTGGACGATGTAAGTAGATTGTCACAGGGCCTAGATATACCAGGTCTGTATGTGTGTGTGTATGTGTGTGTGTGTGTGTGTGTTTGGAAGGATGGGATTGGAGAGTGTTCCCTCCCTTGGTACATTTCTAGAAGGGAGCTGGGGAATAGAAAAAGGGAAGGGTGATCAATTATGAGTTATGTATCTCACCCCACTGATATGATCAACAATAGAGATGGACTTCCTTTTTTCAATTAGGTTCAAGCCTTTATATCTCTACCTTCGACCACAGGGTCTAGAGAGTTATCACATAAGAATCCAGTACATTTCTTTGGGAATTTTGTGAGGCTCTGAGGATCTTTGGACCTCTAATATTTTAAGTGGGATCTGGCCCTCAGTGATCATTGTTCCACAGATAGTTCTCTGTGCATATCTCCTTTGGATCATTTATCACCCATGTTATCATTATTGAAGTATCTGTCTCAGCCATAACACTGTAAGCTGTCTTTAGGTGAGAACTTGGATTGATTCAGTTTTGCATCTGAAGTGCCTAGCACAGGACTGCAGGAGCCTGCTGAATGAATGAATGGAGCTTTGGGTTTCATCACACAGTCATTCATGAAATTCATTCATGAAATCATTATCAAATAGTTACTGAGCATCCCTCAGTGCTAGGCAGTCTCATAGTCCCTTGGCCCACTCTGGGAAAGCTTTTCCAAGTCCTGGACATCTCTTAGGATTCCCCAAACCTGGAGTGACTGAGCTTCCAAATCACCAAATCAGGATGATTTGTCTTATGGGGCACATTGGTCCATCTCCCCACCAGCTGGAGGGATCCCTGGAGCAGGAGAAGAAAGTGCGCATGGACCTGGAGCGAGCAAAGCGGAAGCTGGAGGGTGACCTGAAGCTGACCCAGGAGAGCATCATGGACCTGGAGAATGACAAGCAGCAGCTGGATGAGCGGCTGAAAAAGTAGCGTGTTCCCCTCCCCAGCGCCTTTCCTCCTCCCCAGCTCAGCAGCCTTTTCTACCTATGACAGCACAAGCTGCCCCAACATGTCCATCCTCAGAGGCCACAGCCTCACACAGCCTCCATCAGTGGGTGCAAAACCATGGGCAGAGGCCTCCAGGAAGAGGCCTCTCCTTCCCCAGACACATGCAGCAGGGCCCTGCAGTCCTCCCTGGCAGGAAGTCTAACCTGGATCCCTCAAGCCTTTTCTTCCTGTTGGGCAGCGAAGAGGGATAGAAACTCATAGCTTACCTCCTTCTACACACAAGTCTCTTTGGAGACCAGTTGCTTAACACCGAGGAAGGCTCCACACAAAAGCCTCTCAGGAAAGGCCTTTCGGGTCCTTCTCAGAGAGCTCCGAGGACCACAGAGAAATGGGTCAGCCACCACGCTTGAGCAGTGCGGGGGTCTGATTAACTCATGGATCCAATTCTTATTGCAAGTCCTACCAAGATGTACAGATCCACTTCCCACACTTGAAAAACTGAGCCTGCAGGGTAGATTTGGATAATCAAATATCTTATGCAGCTTTAGGGTTCAGACTTTGAAAGGCTCTGAGAACCATCATGATTACATCCTCATGGAGCCTGTGTCTGCCCAGGAGTCCTCACACTTCCCCAGGCACAGCATGTGTTGAATGAATGAAGGAATATATGATCCCAAGGATCCTCAAACCTCCTTCTAAGGATGGTATTTTGAGGCCCACTTTACCAAAGAGGAAACAAAGGCTCAGGAAGTTTAACCAAAGTGCCCAAAGTAACAGTGATAGAATTAAAGGCCATCAGAGCTAAAAGGGGCCTTTGAAACCATCTAATCCAATGCCATCATTCCACAGGACCAGAGAGGAAGTCCCACAGAGCCCAGGTCTTGTCACTCCACCTGTGGTGCTCTGCCCATTACATTCTTGCTGGACTTCAGGCCTTCAGCATGCATTACATTTTCAGGGACCCTACATCAGCCCCAGACGCTATTTTTCTGATGAAATCCTGCTCTTTGTTTTTTTGTATTACCATGTCCAACCACTGACGGGCCCACCTGCTGCCCAGCCGATCTTCTTCATCTTAATTTCCTTCGTTCCCCATAGGAAGGACTTTGAGCTGAATGCCCTCAATGCGAGGATTGAAGATGAGCAGGCCCTGGGCAGCCAGTTGCAGAAGAAGCTCAAAGAGCTTCAGGTAAGGTGTGGGATGCCTAGGCTGGAGCCCCTGGGCTGGCCGTCAGCTTCCTCCATCCCCTCCTCCAGGATGTCCTCTCCCCAGCATTACAGGAACTTGCCATGTGTCCATGAAGGGAGATACTGAGCTACCACAGTTCACCCATGGAGCACCCCTAGGAGGGGCTGGGTGATCCAAGGATGACACGGGAAGAGACCTTGAAAAGGTCACAGGTGTAGGGAGCAGAAATCCTGGCTTCCTGTCTCAGCTCTGGTTTAGCTGGCAACTGTGGAGTGCCCACTCCTGATATCTGGGTTTCTGTGTCCTCCCTTGTTACCAATGGCGTTTAAGATCCCTTTAGCCCTGATAGTCTGTGACTTTGATTCTTACCCCTCGAGCAGACACCATGTTAGGTCTTTGGACAAACATGGCTCTCTCATTCTAAACTTTTAATACTTTTGCCACTAAACTTCTTAAAATATCCTTAGAACACAGGTTTCTTTGTCCCTCTCAAAGATCAAGCTTCAACCACTTTCTTTCCAATAGAACATGTACAATGTTCTGGCCTAAAGGAAGCCTAGTTCAGCTGTCCAAAACATCTTCTCCAAATCCTTTTATTTCTACTTCTCTGCTGGTAGAACTGAAAAGATTTGCTGTTCCAGACAGGCCAGGAATGTCCTAGAGCTCTGGGGTGGGGGCTCCGCCAGACGGCTCCGGGCGGTGGGGCTGAGCCCTCTGTGTCCTGGGCCAGGCTCGCATCGAGGAGCTGGAGGAGGAGCTGGAGGCCGAGCGCACCGCCAGGGCCAAGGTGGAGAAGCTGCGCTCAGACCTGTCCCGGGAGCTGGAGGAGATCAGCGAGCGGCTGGAGGAGGCCGGTGGGGCCACGTCCGTGCAGATCGAGATGAACAAGAAGCGCGAGGCCGAGTTCCAGAAGATGAGGCGGGACCTGGAGGAGGCCACGCTGCAGCACGAGGCCACGGCGGCGGCCCTGCGCAAGAAGCACGCGGACAGCGTGGCCGAGCTGAGCGAGCAGATCGACAACCTGCAGCGCGTGAAGCAGAAGCTGGAGAAGGAGAAGAGCGAGTTCAAGCTGGAGCTGGACGATGTCACCTCCAACATGGAGCAGATCATCAAGGCCAAGGTGGGCTGCCTGCTCACCATCCTCGCACCCAATTCCCTCCACCCACCTCCACTTTCTGTCCATGTCTCCTCTCTTCTCTGACGGTTAAGTTTCCCACTTCCCTTCTCCAACCCTGTTCTCCCATCCTCTCCCTCTCCCTTCCATGTCTCTCCTCTTCACTTCTGTAACTGCACCCCTTACCACCCTTCAATGCCCTCTACATCCGTCATATGACTCCCCTTCCTCCCTCAGGCTAACCTGGAAAAGATGTGCCGGACCCTGGAAGACCAGATGAACGAGCACCGAAGCAAGGCCGAGGAGACCCAACGTTCGGTCAACGATCTCACCAGCCAGCGGGCCAAGCTACAGACCGAGAATGGTGAGCCACCCCCCCATCTCCCCTGACATCCTAAGCCACCCAGCCTTGGGCAGACACTCACACACATGTGCACACACACACACAAACACATACACACACACCTCTCTCCAGAGAATGGGGCCTAAGGGGAAGGGATGGGGAGAGAGAGCGGTGGCTGACCTTCCAGAGTTGAGTGTGCCTTTGTACCTCTCCAGGTGAGCTGTCCCGGCAGCTGGATGAGAAGGAGGCGCTGATCTCCCAGCTGACCCGAGGCAAGCTCACCTACACCCAGCAGCTGGAGGACCTCAAGAGGCAGCTGGAGGAAGAAGTTAAGGTGAGGCTCAGACTCAGGCCGCTTGGCCCAGGTCAGGAGCGAGCAGGTTCCAAGAATGAGGCTTGCTGTCTTTCCATTGTTCTCCCATTTTCCAAGCAGAGTAATAGCCCAGGGCGTAGCACATGCCTCCTAAATCTATTGCCCAGTCTGAGGCCCTCTGCCTTTCTGCTGCCATTTCTGGAGGGAGAGGGGCCCGGGTCAGGGGAAAGTGAGGGGGAGGAGAGAAACACACTAGGGAGGAATGGCGGCCTTGGCGGGGCTCAGGTGTGGGATGCAGGAACTGCGCAAGTGGGTCCTGGGATTAGCAGGACAATCTGAAAGCTGGGGAAAGAAACTAAACTGGAGCCTATTCGGGGCACTTTGCTGGCCTCGTGAACAAAAGGGGGAAAGAATATGACCTTTTAAAAAGGCCAGGGCTCCAATCCTAACCTGCCCCTTAGAGCCTGGTAATCTTGAGGAAACCACCTAGCCTCTCTGAGCCCCTGCCTCTTCCCCTGTCCCTGGGGACGAGGTTGATGATACCCTGCTGTAGCGAGGAGCAGAGTGCCGGGCATGACTCCTGTAAACAGTGCAATGCCCAACGGACATTCCTTGTTATTAGTCCTCAGTAGACTGCTCCAGATCCTCTGGGGATTTAGAGACAGGGGAGGACCTGGGGAGGATGGAGAAATTAGGGTGAGGACATGGGCAAGGACTGGGGTGTACTCTGGAGAAAGCTGAGCCCTCCTCCCGGTGCCCGCCCCTCCGCAGGCGAAGAATGCACTGGCCCATGCGCTGCAGTCGGCCCGGCATGACTGTGACCTGCTACGGGAGCAGTACGAGGAGGAGACGGAGGCCAAGGCCGAGCTGCAGCGCGTCTTGTCCAAGGCCAACTCGGAGGTGGCCCAGTGGAGGACCAAGTACGAGACGGACGCCATCCAGAGGACCGAGGAGCTCGAGGAGGCCAAGTGAGTCCTGGGCGGCCTGCCTCTAGCTGAGGCCCCTCTGCAGGCAGGACACAACCCAGCCCAATGCTGGGAAGATTCCTCACCGGGGATGGATGCTTGGCCAGGTTTTGACAACACAGGAGAACCCCGTCCAGGGCCCCACCTCCTTCTCCTCTCAGGGAAGCTTTTTGCTCGCGTTATGTTTCTCATCCGAATATAAGACGAACAAAAGGTTTGTCTGAGGGCAGAGTGCTCCCACCAGGGGCGGGGTGCTGTGACAGAGGAAGTGGGGTGGGCTGCGGAAGCCCATGCCTCCTCCATGTCTGTAGCCTAGAGGCTGGCCTAGGGTCAGAGGAGACCACCTGGAAGGCCCTCCTGGGTGCTGTGGGTCTTCCTAGTGTGCCACCAAGACCCTCTGCCGGCCTGGTTCTCAGCCCCCTGGGGCCTCTCCTCAGCTTCTCCAACAACACTTCTAAATTTTCAAGGATTGTTTTCTAGAACACTCACGTTGTTTCCCCTTGTCCAAATCTACACCCTCCATCCTCCCCACCCTGTCCCATCCCCCAAACCCCCACTGGCCGGGGCAGGAAGAAGCTGGCCCAGAGGCTGCAGGATGCCGAGGAGGCCGTGGAGGCCGTCAATGCCAAGTGCTCTTCGCTGGAGAAGACCAAGCACCGGCTGCAGAATGAGATCGAGGACCTGATGGTGGACGTGGAGCGCTCCAACGCAGCCGCCGCGGCCCTGGACAAGAAGCAGAGGAACTTCGACAAGGTGGGCCTGGGCTGAGGGCCACAACCAGGGGCAGAGCAGGGAGGCCGGCGTCACCAGGAAGCCAGGGACCTCCTCCTGGGGGGCCAGGAAGGAGACTGAGCCCCGCCGAGGGGCCTGGGCATGCCCTGGAGAGCCGGGGGAATGGGAGATGGGGGTGTGCTGGGGTAGGGGTTGGGGCCGTGCAGTGAGCCGGGTCCCCACAGATCCTGGCCGAGTGGAAGCAGAAGTATGAGGAGTCGCAGTCAGAGCTGGAGTCCTCGCAGAAGGAGGCGCGCTCCCTCAGCACAGAGCTCTTCAAGCTCAAGAACGCCTATGAGGAGTCCCTGGAGCATCTGGAGACCTTCAAGCGGGAGAACAAGAACCTTCAGGGTGCGCTGAGGCCGGAGAGGCCGGGGAGGGGCTGGGGGTAGTCTCCTCATGTGGCGCCACCCAAGGGCTCCAGGAAGGGTGCCCCCCAGATTGGACCATGGCAGCCCCCAACTGAGTGGCCCGGCCCCTCCCACAGAGGAGATCTCCGACCTGACTGAGCAGTTGGGTTCCAGTGGAAAAACCATCCACGAGCTGGAGAAGGTCCGCAAGCAGCTGGAGGCTGAGAAGCTGGAGCTGCAGTCGGCCCTGGAGGAGGCTGAGGTGTGTGTGCAGGGTGGCCGGGGGGCGGAGGGAAGCCGAGCTGTGGTCCCTGTTCTCATCTCTTTTTTGTCCGTTTTGTTCCCCGGTCCATCCTTAGAGCCTAGCACAGTACCTGGCACATAGCAGCCACTCAACAAACATTGTGGAATGAATGAATGAATGAATGAATGAATAGGTCACTCCATGTCCTTCACACAGACATTTTACCCTTTACATCTTAGACAAGATTTCCTGGATCCCCTCCCCTCTCCTTTCCGCCTCTGCCTCCCACTTCAGGATTTTTTACATTCCGTGCCTGATTGCCTCCGTTTCCTTGGCAACACCTTTCTCTTCATTTTCCTCTTTGTCTTCATAGCTCGCTCTCCTCTGTGAGGGTCTGAACCACCTCTCCTAAGCCTTTTTTTTTCTTTTAAATTCTCTTTTCTTCTTCCTCCTTCTGCTTCTTTGACTGAACCACTTAATAGCACTCTTGAACTCACTTTGTATCCATGATTCATGGACAGACCCCTGCCCCCGGCCCTGTGCCCTGACAGTCTGCCTCCGACCCTCTCTCCCCACCCCCTCCCAGGCCTCCCTGGAGCATGAGGAGGGCAAGATCCTGCGAGCCCAGCTGGAGTTCAACCAGATCAAGGCAGAGATCGAGCGGAAGCTGGCAGAGAAGGACGAGGAGATGGAGCAGGCCAAGCGCAACCACCTGCGGGTGGTGGACTCGCTGCAGACCTCCCTGGACGCGGAGAC